GAAGTTTCGACCGTCGTTGAAGCACTCTTCGACTTGATAGGGGCCGTCGTAGCGTGGTCTTAGTTTTGCTGTCGGCCTGCCTTTGCCACCAACAACCTGTTGTCGATCTTTACTATCAATGAGGACCCAGTCGTCGATTTTCAGCTGTTCGCCTTCTCGTCTTCTGCTGTTGTAATGAACGGCTTGGGTGATTCGGTTCGTCCACAGTTTGTCGCGTAGGTCTGCCCATGTTGATTGACGTTTGTCCAGCCAGTCACGCGCGTCACTCTCTGGTTCGGCTTCTGTTCGGTTAGTCGGGAAAAGTTTTGGTTTCCGGCCATACACGAACTCGAACGGAGACACTCCCGTCGCTACGTTCACTGCTCCGTTGATAGCATACTCAACGAACGGGAGAGCTTCTAGCCATTTACCGTGACGAGATGAGACTAGGTGACGCATGATTTGTACAATGGTTTTGTTAGATTTTTCACTACGTCCGTCGCTTTGAGGATGATAGGCTGTCGTTAAGTTGACGTCAATCTTCATCAGTCGGTGCAGTTCCCGCCAGAAGGATGAGGTCCAGAGCTTGTCTCGGTCTCCCGTCATGCTTTGAGGAGCACCAAAGATTGCTAGCCACGATCCAAACAGCCGTTGAGCTGCCCGCTCCGCGGTGTCGGTCTGGCACGCTGGAATGGCCCGTACAAAGCCTGAAAGTCTGCACGTGACGGACAGAATCATGTCGTGACCACGCACTTTTGGGAAGGGTCCAATGAAGTCTAGTGCGATGTGTTCCATAGGTTTGTTCGGTACATTCGCAGTTTGCATTCGTCCTGACAGTAACGATGTCCTCGCCTTTGTTCGTTGACAGTCGTCGCAACTCGCTACGTGAGCTTTCACCTCGTTGGCCATGTCAGGCCAGAAAAACTCGTTGCGCGTTTGGATGAGTGTCTTCAAAGTACCCAAATGACCGAGTGCGTCATGGACTTGCGAGATTATCTGCCGGCGAAGCTTTTTGTCGTTCGGGATCACGAGACGGCCATCTACATACATCAGGTCGTCCTTGATTTCTGTGCCTTCACGTAACGGTAATGTCTTGGCTAGTTTTGTGCAGAATGTGTCGGCTCCATAACCTTCCTTGATGGCCGTCACGGTTGCGTCATCAAAAGCTGGTCTGATCTCACATGATGCTACGTCTTCAATCCGCGATAATGCGTCTGCCACACTGTTGTCTTCGCCTTTCAGGTATTTGAAGTCTAGATCGAATTGCGACAATGTCTCGAGCCATCGGGCTTGTCTGCGACTGAGGTTTCGTTGCGTCAGGAGGTGTGTGAGGGAGTGGTGATCGGACATCACATTGATTTTCAATCCTAATAGTAACAATTTCCATTTTTGTAGAGCGTTTATTACTGCGAGGAGTTCCTGCTCGTGTACTGGGTAGTTACGCTCGGCCGGTGTCATTGTTCGACTTTCATAGGCGATCGGTGACGACTTGTCCCACTCCGTTCCTTGAAAGAGGGCGGCACCGAGTCCATGTCCACTGGCATCAGTGAACAGCCAAATTGGATCATCAGAGTCGTAGTCCAAGCCTTTTAGCACCGGCAGTGTCGTCATTATTCGTTTGATGTTCAAAAACGCTTCCTCTTCAGACGGTCCCCACTTGAACGGTTGTGATTTCAGTTTCGTACTCGTGAGCGGCGAAAGAGTTCCCACGTAGTGAGCTAGACCGTCGACAAATTTCTTCATGAATTGGACTGTGCCAAGGAAACGTAGTAGTTGTTTTTGAGACGTAGGTGATTTCCATTTCGTGACTTTGTCTACTTTACCATCGTCCGGGCAAATCCCTTCACCACTGATTTCGTGGCCTAAGAAGTTGATCTTTCGCCGAAATAATTTGCTCTTTGACGGTGAGCAGTAAAGGTTAGCGGCACGCAGACGACGCAATACCTCACGCACGTGTTCCTCGTGTTCCTCGACTGAATTGGAGAATACTACGATGTCATCAATATAAGCTACACAAATCTTCCCTATCAAATCTCCTAAAGCTTCTTCTACCCTACTTTGGTGTGTCGCAGGTCCGTTTGTCAACCCCATCGCCATCACCGTCCATTCAAACAGGCCAAAGGGTGTCTTTACGGCCGTCAGGGGGATGTCTTCTTCGCGCATCTTTGTCTGAAAGAAAGAGTTGATTTGATCAATGATGGAGAAAATTTTCCCACTGCTTACCAACCTCACTGCTTCGTCGATGTTCGGTAAGGGAGATCGGTCCTTCACGGTGTATTTGTTGAGCGTTCGGTAATCGCATACCCAGCGAGGTGGTGCGTTTGGGTCTTTCTTCGGGATGATCATGGAGGGTGATGCGTATTGGCTGTTCGACTTCCTGATTCGTCCCGCCTTGAGGTGTTGATCCACTAGTTTTCGCCATGCTCCTAGGTATTTCTGTGGGTAAGCGTACTGCTTCTCATTAATCACTACATCAGGGTTAGTCAGGATAATTTTGTGACGAATTTTTGAGGCTTCATGCTGCCCCTCAGGAGGGAAAAAATCATCCTCGTCTTCAGATTCTACCGCAGGTAGTTCGTCTGGAAACACTTCAGCAAACTCTTTCAATACTTGCTCCTCACGAGCAGATAAGTCACGCGTCTCTTTGACTTTAGACAAATTCTGAATCACACAAGCTATCATTTCATTCGTAATCTTCTCTTTCATTTTTTCCGCAGCCTCAACTTCCATTAAAACCGTTCCTGTAGGTACATGTTTGACAGTTCTGTCATGCAGAGAAACATCCAAATGAAATTTTTCCAAAAATGGTGTCCCTAGGATCACGTCAAACTTATCCCCCAAGGGTGCCATCTTGAAGAACGTCGAGCCAAATCGTAACGGAGGTTCGTGTGAGGCTACGTTGGCAAAGCAGAATTCAGTGAAAAAGAAAGGTTTCGATTCATTACTGTCGATTGCCAAGCGTACTTCAACAGGTGCCACCAGAGGACGACGAGGTATTTTTGCTCGCTTCGCCAACCGTTCCGCCATCAGGTTTGTTTCTGCTGCACAATCAATCAATGCGCGAACGTCAACACCATTGATCTTCAAGTTCAAGATGAGGGATTTGGTATGGGAAGTGGAAGTGTTGTCGCACCTTGCCTCCTCTCTGTCCTCGCCTAGGTGTGCTACCAGGATCTTATCGGCTTCTTCGTAACGAGCTAAGTCTTGGGCGAATAGATCTGGGGCTTGACTTTTATCATGGATGCTGGCTACTAACATTGGCGCGGAGGGTGGACGGCCGGCTGGTTTTGACGTCGCGACTCCTGGTGTTTTGGTCGAGTCGATTTGTACCGGTCGTACCCAGGGATTCACCCCAGCATCTTGACGGCGAGCAGGTCGTGGGCCCGGGTTGAAGCTTTCGGGCACGGAAACGAAAGGACCTCTAGCTGGTCCACGACATTGAGCGTTGCCGCATTGGGTACGACAGTATCCGCATAAACCTCTGGATCTCATGTACTGATGGTAGCGCCACGCGCTATCTGCTCGTTGTTCTACAGTACGATTGTCCGGTGCGTGAAAGTTTCCAGGAGGATTGGCTCGTTGAACAGGGTGATGATTGTCTTCGTTAACAACTTGTCTCGGTCGACTTCGCGGTATCAAGTTACTAGCTTGTATCACGTCCCAAAGGTTGCTTGCTGCAGAGATGAACGGTAACATCTTGAAGTCCGGCACTTGCAACAGTCCACGATCCTTGATCCATCGCTGAAATACGTCGGGTGTGCCCCAGACCATGTATTCGGCGAGATTGCGGGGGCTGAGAGACGTTTGATGTTGTACCATGTTGTATAAATCCCGTGCTCGTCCCACGTAGGTTTTGAAGTCTTCGGTGGGTCCGATTTTCAATTGACGTATGTTCTTCTCGGTGTCTTCTTGCCAACTAGTCGGAAGAGTTTCGATCATGAGCTCATGAATGATTTGCTCCCAGCTTAATCCTTTCAGGTCCGCTTTTGAGTTCATAAACCATGCGCCGGCGCGTTGTTCGATCAGGACCGATCCCAGGATGATGAGTCGGTCCTTGTCATCGCTGATACCCTTCAATTCAAAGTATTGCTCGATTAGGCGCTTCCAGTTGAATAAGGCGGTCGGGTTCTCAGAAGGTCCCGTGAATTTTGGGACTTCTGACAGCTTGATGTCATTAGCTGATGTCTTCTTCACTGGTGTTTCGTCAGCTGACTCGGCGATTGGCGCATTGATCGTAATAGGGGCAGTAGGTGCGGCGTCGATCGGATGGGGACTGGGTACCACTCCTACGGCTTCTTCCGGCACAGTCTCGACAATGTGATGGAGTGGAGGGGGACGAGGTCTGATGAGCGTGGGAGGAGCCGTTCTAGCTCGGACGTTGGCCTCCGGGTCGTGAGTTTGGTTACCTCGAGGACCCATTGGAGTCGGCGTCACCAGGTTATTGCCCTTCGCGCGAAATGACGCAAACGGGTTAGTAGACCCTCCACTGCGATCAGTGTTAGGTCCCCTGGTGTTGACGATTTGTGAGATGGTCGTCTCCAGAGCCGCAATACGTCGTCGATCTTCAGCCGCCGCGTTGACTTGAGCTGCGAATGAGGCATTCTCAGTTTCCAACTGAGATAACCGTTCGTGCAACGCCTCGATGATTTCGTCTTTCGAACGAACTTCCTCGGTGTCCTTGCCCTTGATATTTGCCGTGTCCGAATTCTCACTTCGAGGTCGGACCATTGGCGTAAGGATGAACTACCAGGGATGACTGGAGTTCCTTGAACAGGCCGACTCAAAGTATTGTCGAACAA